AAATTAGCCAATCACATGCATGCCCTTCTAGAACAAAAGACATGCATAAGGGACTTTGTCCGGGACAGACTCGAGTCGGTCCTAAAAAGTCCTTGTGAAGTCGACTCAAGGACCGGGTCCCACAAGCTTTTTGACAGCCCTATGCACAACATACATTACGGGTCCAATGTTGCGTTTAATGTTGTCCAAACTATTTGGGTCGTACAAAAAGTATGTGATGAACAATATTCGACAATGCAATAAAAGTATATATACATAATGTCATACTAGTCATCACATAGGTCAGGATGTCCGGATGTCCCGAACAGTTCTATTTCAATACTTGTACTTCGGTACTGCATAAACAAGAAATAAAGTTTGTATAATTAGATTATCTTTAAAATGGATTAAAAAAAAAAAAAACAAAAAAACAAAAAAAAAAAAGTTCGTTCAATATTGCCTTATGGCTGCAAAATTACCTTATTTATGCCTTCATGAAATTTTCGAATATACTTTTATAAATCATGCCGCAACAAAATTGACAGATATATTATCATGCATTTATGTGAACAGGAATTGGTATAAAACAGCTATTCCAATTTTATGGAGAGACCCATTTAATAATAATCTTCAATTCGAACATGCCGTGAAGCTTATCGATGTATACATTGCTAGTTTTCCGCCAACATTACAAGATCTTTTGAATCTTCCATCAAAAGACTTGTACACAACTAATCCAAGTTTTAATTATGCCAAATTTTTGCGAAGGATGAATCTTACACAAATTCGAGCGGCATCTGGCCATTGGCTAAAGCACAAGAATATAACAACTAAATGTCCAATTTTTGAACAATTATGCACGCATTTTGTTAATTCTGCCCAAACTCTTAGGATTATTGAATTCAATCCTGAAGTTGATGCTATTGTTAACATGAACATATTTACGCTTCCTAATGCTTCAACCAGTCTTTGTTATCTCAGGGAGTTCGCTTGTTATGGTGAACCAATTAATAATTTGTATGCAACCGCCGCCAAAGTTGTCACAAGGATCAAAAATTTAAGAATATCACTTGTGCATGGTTGTCCAATTATGTCAACGACTTTGAATGGTATGTCAACTTTTATCAGTTCACAGAAACAACTTGAAAAAATTTCAGTGGATAATAGGATCGGCTGTTTTTGTTGTCCTCAAGATCTTTCGTTGGCATTAGATTTGACGAATGTGTTTAGTTCAATTGGTTCACAGGCAGAAACTTTGCTATCATGCCATTTTTTTTCTATCAATTTCCACAACGATTTTCCTTTGAAACAATTAGCAGAATGTCAAAATCTTCAAGAACTAGTTATTTCAAGAAGTTGGAATTTCGGAATTCCCGATTACACCAATGTTCACTTGAAATCGTTTACACGCTTAAGTATAATCGAATTAATATTATCTACCGTTCCAGATATGTTGATTAAGACTTTGCTCATTCAATCCGGCAAATCTCTGAGAAAAATTAAGCTTGAACAACATGGGACTTTCTCTGAAACACTTCAATACTGTGCCGAAAACAATCAAAATATCACAAATATATTAGCTTTTATTTATCCAGAAGAAATTTACCAACTTCCAATGTTTCTCAGTGCTTGCCAACAATTAGAACAGATTGAACTTTGGGACAAAAACACTCCTAATCGAAGAGGATATGAAGATTTGCATTATTCTATGAGAACAGTTGAAACGATTAACGTTAATGAAATTTTACCACACCTTGGAGCTGTTATTCCTTGTTCTCTGGTAAATTTTAAAATAAACATGAAGTGGTCTTTTACTTCTACATCGCTTGAAAGCTTTCTTCACACCTGTCAAGCACCATTGGAATCTTTGAGTTTTGAACATTGTGAATGTTTTTCTGAAGAACATTTGGAGACTATTATTCAATCATTAAAGAAACCTCTAAAACTTTTGAATATCATGCATGCAAATTTCGAAGTAACGCCAAAGATTCGTGAAAGGGTAAAGTATATGATCCAATCTATTCTTAATAAACCGGCTTTTAGTTACACGCCTTGATTTATTTATTTTTCGAAGATTATGCACAAATTCTTATTATTTATTTAAATTTATCTCATTATTATTATTTCTTTTTTCCCCTAAAATTAGATTTTTGTTTTTTTTTAAAAATTATTTGTTCAATCATTAAAAATCATTACAAGTGGTTAATGTGATGGCGGTATACATTGTTATCATAAGTTAGAATTTCTTTTTAATTATTCACTTTTTTGATAGAAAAACTTTTCAACATAAAACAATATTAGCTATGCATATTTTTCGAAATTCAATGTATTCAATGTTCAATGGTTACAATACATTTTTAATTCTTTTTAGCCAATCTAGTCAACGGATTAATTATATGCTTGGTATGTACTTACGTACGTACGTTTTGACGATAATTGATATGTGATAAAAGGTTTTAAAATATACCGATATTTGTCAAGTGAATTATGTAATACGTAAATTACACTTACGTTAGATCCATAATATTTGAAGTTCTCAAATTTTGTTTTTTTTTAGAGAAATTTAAATTCGAATATATACTATATATGAGTATCGCTAAAAGAAAACCCGAAACTTTAACATGACTTAAATTTTCGGGTTTTCTTTTAGCGACACTCGTATATATAATTCTTGATCTTTATAAATGATCCTTTAGAAGCTGCTCCTTACAGGCTCGGATTGTTCCACCAATAAAAACCGGATATGTGATCTTGCTAACCGACCTAGTATCAAAAAACAAAAAAAAAAAAGTAGTACTGTACTGTAATTAAAGCCCAGAATCAAAATTAAGATATTCGTAATAACGAACCGAACTAGCTATTTTATAATAAAGTTATCTATAAGTAATTTGCGATGTCTCTATGCTACATATGTGATATACCCTATATTCTATATCAGTTCCGCTCACTTCGTAGAAAATCATAGACAGACATGTTTATTTTATAGACGACTAATTTACAAAGTTCATTTCATAGTCACCGATAACTTGGTTTATCGAAAAAGTAATTATAGCCATTATTGTTAGGTTAGGACTCAAATGCGTTTAGGCAAATAACGTTTAAGGTTATTTGCAAGTTATAAAAAAAAAAAACTTGTATGTGAAATGAGTTATAAATGAGTTATTGGTAAAATGAACTGTCTATGAAACAAACTTGTCTATGAATTGATCGTCTATAAAATAATCTTTCCGCAAAAAAGTGTTGGTCTTGTGATCCTCCTAATCGGAACTTAAACCTTTTTCTTATGAGAAATACCTTAAAGTTCGTTTACGCTTTCTGCGCCATAGAAAAAAAAACAATTGCAAAATTTTGGTATGACCCAATTTTTGTCGCGATAATAACTAATCCTAACATACAAAAATCTTAATAATAATCCCACCGAACTACTGGGGTAGCCATTTTAAAGCATAATATGGGCCAGTGCTGAGAAAAGGGACGAAATTGACAATTTCATTTAAGACACAAAAGTAGTTGTATGAATAAAATTTTGCAGTATAGCTTTTTAAAGTTTGCTGTTCTTATGATTTATTACATAAAAATTGATCCTTTTTTTTTGTCAATTTCGTCCCTTTTCTCAGCACCTCGCCCATATGTTCATGGGCTTGTCTTGTGTTTCTTTGGGTCCGAAGCAATTAACTCGAAGTAATGGAAACTCAGTCGCGTGTATGAATAACGAATAAAGTGAATGTAATATTACCAAAATGATAGAGTTTTATGAAAGGTTATGTTGGGAACGTGAAAATTTAATGTTAAAAGTGATTTTCTAAAGTTAGTAACTAAAGAAACAAAAAAGTTGTATGAAACGCTTCCCGTTGCTAAGCCAAAGCCTTCATACTTTTATTAATTTGTCGTTCTTTCATAATGTAAAAGAAAGGAAAGGAATCTTTGTAAAGAATGTAAACTGAATTGCTCGAATTTAGGTTATTAATAGCTTGGAAAAAGTTTTTTTTTTATTATGAATTGGTGTGTTAATAAATTTTGACCAAATCATATACCTCAACAGAGTACTTTCTTGCTTAAGTTTTTTTTTGTCGAGTCTTTAGTGGTTACTAAACCTTGCCAGAATCATATTTTCTGTCAAGTTCTACTAGTAATTTTGATTTATAAGATATTATTGTTATCGTTATGGGATTCGCATTATTTACCGACAACTTAGTGTTAGTTCACCCCTTATATTCCACGACCCCCTAATGTTGATGATATTTTTATGATGACGTAATGGCGTGAAAATATCTATTACATATTTCACGGACATTTTATTTCACCGATGGCTCATTTCACCAAGTTTTTTTATAAATTAACCTTAGCTCTGATTCTAAACCGGACCCTAACGGCAATCAGTGATGGGTTATGATCAGGCCATATGATCATGTAGATCAGATCATATGGGGTCTTTGCCGATTTACTTATTTGCGCCGGTGATACAAACCAAAAAAGGAAAAAAACAAAAAATATCCTTTTTTATTGGCACAAA